CATATTATAAAATGTCTGCCTGATGCAATGCTCTAAGATGCACAAGAGTCTAATAAAGAAGGATATTGCTGCACATTTGCCCAAAATGCAAATTCGAGATGGATTAATGCTGGAATTTCTGATTGGAAATCTTCAAAATTAGTTTTACTGTGTGAGATTGGTACTGAAATGTGCATACAAATATTTTATAACATAACTCCCATAAACACCAATAAAAATAACATCAATATTATAATTTCTCACTTAATATCAATATATCAAACTCAATATAATGCGAATGTATGTAACGATTACGTAGTTACGTAACATACACTCGCGTAATCATTCTAACATATTGATGTTATGTTAATGACAATTGATGATGGGACAGATATTTTTCTCTAACGTGTATCTCGTATTTTTTAGGTTCATTTTCAGTCATCAGAATTATTCTGCATTGGTAGCAAAAAGATTATGAGGAAAGGTATCATATCAAGTTTGCAAATATGATGAATCTGCAAAATTAAAAAAAAGAAAAAAATTGAAACATGTTATTCATAATGATAATTGTTGCATAAAAAAACTGCCTCTGGATATAAAAATGTTAGAGGAATCAGCTAATAAAACAGTATCTGTAAAAAAAAGTAATATCAATGATATCTGCAATATGAATGTTGAACTCTTACAAACCTATGAAGTAATGCAAATTAAATTATAAAATATTATACAAGAAAATGAAGTTTTTAAAAAAAAGATTCATTATTTACAGGATGATTTAGCACAGTCCTTTACATTTGATAATACATTAACCATGATGGTTAATTTTGCACATATTTCCAATTGCATATAAATTCTGTAAGACATCATAAAAACAGACACATAAAAACTGTAAGACATCTTATTATAAGAGATAAAATTTTTAATACTTCTGATCATAATATATTATATGGGCTGAAAAGTCCATGTAGTATAATCATCAACAAATTCTATATAAATAGCATGTATATTATGATCAGAAGTATTAAAAATTTTTAATGAATGATGGAATTTTTAATGAAAACAAGTGTTTTTTGGGCAAAGTTATATTTATTCCTCAACGTAGTTGCCTTTGAGGGCGATACACTTGGTATGGCGATTTTCCAACATTTCGATGCCCTTTCTGTAATACGAAACGTCCAAGCCTTCGAAATACGCCTCGATTTCCACGATGACTTCCTCATTCGATGTGAATCTCTTTCTCTGGAGCCACCGCTTGAGGTTTGGGAACAGATAATAGTCGCTGGGGGTCAAGTCTGGAGAATACGGTGGGTGAGCAACCAATTCGAATCGTAATTGGTCCAATTTGACCATCGTTTTCAAGGATGTGTGTGACGGTGCGTTATCGTGATGGTACAGAACGAAGGCGAAAGTAGCACCACTTAAACGACTGTAGCTTGTAAACGAATGAACGAAATGTCATGAAACTTCATACATAAACTAGTGACAGATCTCTCGAAATGAATCATGTTCATTTTCTAGTGACGCCACGTATTGAAAAATCCCGGGACTTTTCAGCCCATGTAGTAGCTACTTAAGGCTCCTGACTACTTAAGAACTAGTCAAGAACTCTGCGTTGACGATAGCAAATCAGACGGCGGTCTGGCAAAACTGGTAGTCATACATTCAAGCACGAGCCCATACATGTATTCGCCTTCGGACGCGCCGAGAGTGAATGAGACAGCGAGCTCCTTCTCACACTAGTCGTTTCAAGTGACCGAAAATGCTTTCTCAGAAATCTCGGCCACTCGGTGGCCCTCCCTCTTCCCTCCTCACATCAATAAGGAGCGTGGGACATTCTAAATAACATATAAGTTTTAATAAATTGTAGTATTTAATCCAGAATATCCCATTAATCCAGAATAATATAAATCATGTTAAAATGAAATAGTTTACAAGATATTTATTTTCGATTTTTCATGCGTTATGTATCTCTTTCATAAACTCGAGTAGCAAGAATAGTTCAATAGAAATAGAATTTTAGAACCGGAAAAAAATTATAAACCAGTTTCTCTTCATATAAATTTTCATATAAATTTTAAAGGTTATCAGAAAAAAAATGCGTGTATGTATATGCGTAAATATGTTTGAGACTCGAGACTTGTGAAGAAAATACGCGAAAAAAATCAAATAGTTGTAAAAAACACATTTTTCGCTTAAAAAACGAAAGATATTGATTGTATTAAAAAAAAATATATTGGGTTGTCCGGAAAGTTCGTGCCGATGTTGAAGAAGAAACGCAGAAAATTTAAATTTTAGTATACATTTATTAAATTATATAGGTTAGTCGGTACGAACTTTCCGGACAACCCAATAGGTATTCGAAATAACTACAAAATGAGAGATGAAACATTAAAGTCGATCTATTAGTATCAGTAGAAAAAAAATTAGAAACACCGAAAAAAGTCTCTTTTACTCGCTCTCTGTCTATTGAAATTTAAATGCAAAGCTTCGAAATTTTCATAAAATATAGCCCTCATAATGATGAACAAATCTAGTTCTGAACGAGCCTGAAATGTTCATTAGTTTTTGCAAAAAGCTTTTGCAAAAGCCATTTGTTCACTGTCAAAACCTGTCTGCGAAAAACTTAATTACTTATCTTTGAGCAGTCGCATAGCAATTTACAGAGGTGATTTTTCTTCTTTGAGAATTGCACTTATCATGTATACTTAATAATAAAACGATTTTTTGTAGTTGAATTTTATTACAAAGTAATTAAAAAGTGAATATCTTTTTCCATAAAAAAATAATTTCGTTAATATACATTATATCAAATATCCGTGTGAAGCATTCGAAATCTGACATTTTTCTACGAATTTAAAAAAAAAGATTATCCTCCGATTATTAGGAGCCGACATAAGAATTTTTTTTCAAAAAATCACTGTGGCTCTAGTTTTTAACATTAAGAGTTTCATCTGATTATCAATTTGCCAAGGAAGAATTGAATTTACTGTTGAAAAATTCTCGAATTTTTTGCTGCCGAAAAAGTTTGTTTAAAACCATTGGAAAGTTAAAGAACGTGAGCGAGGTAGTGCGCCGGGCGGAGTGAGGGAAGCAGGATTGATAAAAAACGTGTTTTAAAAAAAAACATTCAGTTTTTTGTTTAAAACATGTTTTATATGTTTTAAACATATACATGTTTTATATATGTTTTAAACTTTAGAAAAAAATCATGTTTAAAACAAAAAAAAACACTTTTTAAATATATTTATTTATACATATATTT